AGGGTGTTAATTCATTGGGCAGTTGGTTTTTCGGGTTTGGGAAATATTCCTTGCTCAAAATTAGATTTGCGTAATTTTTTCGGGCATTGCCCGAATTCGACTATTGAGCGTGACATATACAGGGTGTCCCAGAAATAAGTGCAAGTATTTTAAAGGGTGGTAAATCTCGATAAAAGAAACATATTTTCTCTTTATCGTTTTTCAAATAAGTCCAAAATAACGGAGTTATTTTATTTTGAAAATTTCCAAAAAAAAAAAGATTTTTTGCTAAAATTTTGAGAACCACTGGATCTTTTCTGGATTTTCTTTCTTGTAAATTTGATCTAATACCTATGTTGCCATATTATCAAGAAATTATATTTTTTAACTAAAAACTAAAAAAAATTCCAAAAATTTTTATAAAAATTTCGAATTTTCAAAATTTTTTTTTCGCAAAAAAAACTCATAGTGGTGCTTCTGGGGTTGAACTATACTACCGTTAAAATATTTGCACTTATTTCTGGGACACCCTGTATAAGCTATACTATGTTTTTTTTTCGAAAAATTACTGAGTTATAGCCAATTCTTATCTTTTTTATCCAATTTCACTTAATTGGCATGGTCTTCTTATTCTGTTATGATTTATAATTTATAAAAAGACAAACTTTAAAAAAAACGGGGAAAACAATTTGATTAAAGGTGTGATTATCTAAAACTTTTATCTGAAAACTTTTTGTCTAAAATAGATTATAATGGAATTAGGCAGCATTTTTAAAGTAACCGAAATATCTAGTAAGCCATAAACTTTTTCAAAAATCCGAAGGGCGCATATATTTGTACCACACAAAACTGCAATTATTTCCCCATTTAACCGACTCTCTAGCTCCAGTAGTATCCAAGATACCCATAGAGAACATCGTAGAAAACTCACCATGTATATGTTTGTGATTTTAAAATTTTAAGGTGTCCATGTCTCATGCCGTTTTTTATTGATTTCTGACAATATTTGAAATGAATTATTGGTATACAAATTTCACACTTTCATGACCACTTTTCCTGCTTTATAAACAAATTAATGTATTATATTTTCAATTTGAAGCTTAATTTTCGAGATAGTAAGTAAAAAATTTTCAAAAAATCGTAATTTTTGAAACATAAAAGTTTTAATCTAGCGTCAGTGTAACCTAGTTGAAACAGTAAATTTGTGTAAAAAATCACACATTGAAACACATTACAAACTAATTTGAACGAAAACTTCTCTACTCCGTCTAAACATACATACAGAATATATGTAATATGTTCATAAAGGTTTATTTATTCAGTATGCGCATATTAAATTGCCTCCAGAAATTTGCTTTAATATGAAATTACAGTTCATCTTTAGTTGGAAAACCATCAGACATGTGTATACCTTTTGCTCTAACTATTTGTGTTCATTTCTAGTAAATTTGGAGATGAAGTTGTAATGAACTATAACTAAAATAGGGTATTACCAAAACCTAAGATCAGAAGAAGTATAATAAAGTTAGTTGATATCTTTTAAACAATTATTATTATCATTTTAAATTTCATCACCTTGGGTATTTCGCCACTGCAAGAAAATCAACAAAATAAAATAGTTATTTTTTGTAAATACTGCTGCGTTAATCCAAACGGAAGCTACTTGTCAGCAGTTAGGTTTACATACATACAAATTTGCCTAACGAACAAAAAAATGCCTAACGTTTAGGAAAGTTTATTAACCGGAAATTTAGCTAAACAATGGCTCTTGGACTTCTTTAATGACATCCTTCGGACCGGCGAGATCCCCAATGTTTTCAGACATTCGAAGATCCTTGCCATACTTAAACCAGGAAAACCGGCTGACGTCTCTTCAAGCTATAGACCCATTGCATTACTTAGCATGACCTATAAACTGCTGGAGAGACTACTTTATAACAGAATCTCGCCATCAGTCGAAGACGTTCTTATCCAACAACAGGCAGGTTTCAGAGCCAAGCGCAACTGCACTGATCAAGTTCTTGCTCTTTCCACTTTCATCGAAGCAGGTTTCCAGACGGGGATGAAAACTGCATGCGCATTCGTTAATTTTTCATAAGCGTACGACACAGTGAGGAGAAAGGGCATGATGTACAAGCTCCAACAAATGCAGAAAGATCACAAACCTCATACAGAACATGCTGAGCAACAGAAGAATAACAGTACATTTGAACGATAAAACTAGCTCCCCTCGCACATTTAATAATGGTCTCCTACAGGGGTCAGTACACGCTCCACTTCTTTTCAACGTATATACAAATGACGTCCCGCCAACTACGGCTCTTAAATTTATATACGCAGATGACATGGCACTGGCTACACAACATCAGTCCTTGGAAACAGGCGGCAACCAGCTTACGCGAGATCTTGAAATACTGCATGCATATTACAAGAAATGGTGCCTTAAGCCCAACCCGCTAAAATCGGAAACTGGGGCATTTCACTTGTCGAATAGGTTAGCTAAAGAGGAACTGAACGTATATTTTGGGGGAGAAAGAATTAGACACAACCAATGCCCAACATATCTGGGTGTCACGTTGGACAGGACTTTATCCTATAATCAGCACATTACAAAAACCGCACAGAAAATTAAATCCAGAAATAATATCTTGAGTAAACTCGCAGGAACTTCGTGGGGTGCGGATGGAAACACACTCAGAACTGCCGCGCTGGCTCTAACTTACTCGGCGGCAGAGTACTGTGCACCGGTATGGTACAAAAGTCACAACACGTATAAAATCGATGTGCAGCTCAATGAAGCTATGAGAGTTGTAACTGGGACATTAAGATCAACCCCAACAGTATGGCTCCCGATCCTAGCGAATATTGCCCCCCCTCAAATTCGCAGAAGAGCTATGGCACAAAAGGAGTGGATGAAGGCTTCCACCCAAGACGGCTTACCTATTCAACTGTCTATCAATCCTCCTCCTTCTAAGCGCCTCAAATCTCGCAACCCAATCTGGATGGACGACGAACTTCAGAGCGAGTACAATATGCACTCCAAATGGAACGAGCTTGTGGCTAGCAGTCCGGGAACACGCAACTTGAACTTAGTTGCCGATGTATCGGGTGCCCTCGCGGGTATGGACCTTCCTCGTCATACCTGGAGTCGTGTAAATCGTTTTAGGGTGGGTCATGGCAGATGCCGTGATATGCTTCATAAATGGGGAATTGAAGACTCACCAATTCAAATATGAGCACATACTGCACACACAATTTTTTTAAGTATTGAGGACCTAGATTTTTTTCTTTCTATTCAGGACCTAGATTTCCTTTTTTTATAGCTTTAGGACCTCCCAAACGCCATGATATATAATATAACACTTACTCCAAAAATCCGTTCCTACATTTTTTAATTGAAACATTTTTTTTTGTATAACAGAAACAAAAATTGAGACAAAAAGAGATTAAATTTAAATACTTAATTCGTCCACGTTTGCCAACGGAATAAAATGTACAGGAGCGTTTTTGGTAACAAATTGAATCGTTTTAAGTAAATTACTTTTTAAATCGTTTTCGCTACTTATCGCCCTAACGACATTTATTCTGTTAAGCGTCTTCTTTCATTTCTTTTGTGCACCGGTTCGGAATCTGCTTTAAATTATAGAAAGCAATTTATGCTAGAGCGCACAATAGAAGTAGGAGTAAACTAGAAATTAGATATTAAAGTAATATTATAGAGTTGAATAAAAAAAGAAACATAATTGGTTATTTTTTTATGAAATTTTGAGTCTGTATGACGAGTAGTATAGTAGTAGTTTTTATTCTCAGGTAAGATTTCGACAGACGATGACAGAAGAAAAGCAGATGACTTCCATACCAATCTATTTATTTTGCTAAAAAAAGTTTCTAATAATTTTTAAGTTAACTATGGATGGGTTTAAATATAAATCCGGCATGCGTCGTCTCTTGTTGTTTTTAATCAGTTTTATTGGTTTATTTAAAAAATGACAGATCATATTTCAATTTTATTTGTTTGAAGGAACGATGAACGACAAACTGAAGCCGATGCATATGAACTCGCCATTAGATTTTTGAGGTTTGTCAAAGTCTTGCCAAATTATAGGTTATAATTTTTTGTCATCTTATATCAAATACCCTGCGTTTTGGAAGATGATGCATTTTGATTCGTGTTATTATGTGTGTTTTGTGTCTTTTGAAGTCGAAGAAAAATCGAGGGAAAATTAACTGTAGACCCAGAGCACAGTTTATAATTAATACTCGGTGTCCAGGCAGAAAGTCTATACACCATTAAGGTTACCATCAATAAAGTTTGCATACCATCTCGTCATAGATAAGTGCATCTCGTATGTGGTACAAGGATCGTACTAAACATATACTAAAAACTGGGGTAGCTGTAAAATAACGACATCACACGATAGGTAAATAATAGACTTTAGTACTGCAGAAAAATAATGTCAAAATGTACTGGTTTAAAAAGATTAAGATTAAAGTTAATTAATCAACCTTTATGGTATAAAATTCGGCAAGTGTTATTATTAATAAAATAGTTTGGTTTATTTATGCTGTTTTATATATTCCTGTGGAATATTACAAATTTGTATTTGTACATAAGTTATATTGATAAATAAATAATAAATGCGGAAAGTTTCCTGAAGCTTGAAAGTAAGAAATAGTTATTTTCTATATTTTTTGGTATATGGTGTTCTGTTCTTGTTTGTTTTGTGTTAACATATACCGAATATATATTTAAATAAAATAACTCGATTAGATTTTTTCAGTTTTATGCTGTAGTTTTATAGTTTTTTTACATTATTTTGAAAGGTCACTCAAATTTTAAATATATTAATTCCCTGCTATGCGTTCCAATTGTACCAACTTATTTCTTTATAAAATAAAATAAACTACTTTGAAATTAAAACGACACATCTTGTCGTTGGACAGACTATAATCAAAGTTATATCCGGAGGGACAGCATAAAAATTCTTAAACATAAAATTAAAAAATATATATGAACTTACCCGGTGATCCTTAGGCCTAGTCTCCTGCCTCCTTGCAGTCCCCGCCTCCTGATCCGGATAAATCAGATTCCTCACCGCTCCCATGAACCTCGGCTCGAAGATCACACTGGGCAACGCCAACAACGCCAACTTCTTGTTGTACCATTTCGGCATACCCCCGATATACACGTCCGAATTCGTCTCAAACTTCCCGAAATTGAACTCCTTCCCTCTGGAAGTACGCATCTGCGACACCCCATCCACCGTCAAAATCGTACGTTCTTCGTGTCTCTGCACCTGAACTTTGTGCCAGTGACCGTCATGTAATTCTTTACCTACGGTGATGATCTGAGCTCCACCACCGAGGTTATATCGGAGTCTTAATGCTCCTTCGACGAGTTTGATCTCGAAAAAATCATAAGTTCCTCCGTCATCTGTGTAGAGTAAAAGTCCGTTTGGTTGGTCGGTTTTAAACTCGAATTCTAGAGTTCCATTGGTACCACCACCCCACTTTCGGAACTGGGAGTAAGAGTTCGAAGAACCGTCGAGGACGAAGGAACTAGATTGGTGTATCGCAAGGATCAGCAATAACGAGATAAAGCGCTGCATTTTGAGATGAGATATGTTGGTGTTAACGCTGATGAATCTCGTGCAGATATATTGATCGAGAAACGAAAGAGGGAATGTACTGCATTGTCGCGTAAAAGCGTATTAGATGCGGATGGATTGGTTTCCGATCGGAGACAGAATTCGATAATGACGGGGAGGCGATTAGGTCTTCATCTTCTTTATTTCGGTTAAAGTGTGTTGGATTAGGTGTATTAAGGAAGGTTTTGACGTCGATAACCTGTAACAGAAATAAGTTTCCTGATATTATCGATACTAAGAAAGAAAACTAAAGTTAAACTGTATGTTACGACCAAAATGTACACTTAGATACTATTAAAACTAACCAGCAATTTTGGAAGCTAGCTCTAAGGGTGCTGGTGTTTTAAAGAAATTCGATCATTCTTGAAAAATATCAGTAAACAAGAGTTAGTTTACAATTTCACTGGTTAGTACGCAAACTGTTTACAATAGTCTAAGAGCTAGCAACATTTTCGAGAAAGTATTTTAAGACGTCTGCCTCTTTGATATATCTTTTACTACGCTCTCTGGAACGGCATGCGGCCCGTCTGGCTGCCGATACACGTTGCGTTCACTACTGCGCATCCAAAGAAGATCCTATATTTTTTTACTTAGCGCTTTAAATTCTAGCATTGAATAAAAACCGAGTAAGTCTCCATTAGCTCGGCGCGTAGAGCTTTCGCCTATGAAGCGAAGGTCTGTGGTTCGATACCGGCTGGTGGGGGTGCAACTTTTTTTTATTTTTTTTTAGTTTATATTCTGATAGTAAAGTAAAGTATTGAATATTTCTTTTTTTTATCACCAGAACGGATGGCGTTGATGGGTGTATGATCCATAGTGTATATAAGTAGAATTTGATACTTTCATTTATTTTGAAGGATTATTGTGGTAATTAATTATTAGATAGGTTTAGGAGGGTCTGGCTGCCGCGCCGCCGCCGGTAGGTTGCGTTCACCACTGCGCATTACATGGGTACAGGGTGTCTCATTTTCGTGCGTTTTTTGGGATTTCTCGTTTATGAGTGGAGATACAATCATGCGTTTTTTTTCACATTACTTTGCTAGTTTTTTATGTAATTAAACATTCTACCCATAGATTTGCGCATTTTCTATACACTAACATTAATCAATCTTGTTTAAAAAGTATAATTATTTTATTTTATTTAATCAGATAATTTTGTTTTCCATCGTTATCTTAACAAACTGAACTGAAAATAAACTTGTGTAGCTTTTAGATAACAATCTGTTAAATAAAAGTATTATTAAAATGATTATTAAAATAATAAACAACAGCTGAAAAAAATATTTTGAAGAAAGACAGGCAGAAATTACGTTAATAAAGCATTAAAATGTTTATTTTTATATATTATGTTTAAATCTTTATAATGAAATTATAAAAGAATTAAATATTTTTATGAATGAGGCAAGAAAAAATTACGGCCAACATTTTTAGTTTTATTTTTAGACATTATGTTTAAATCATTACAATCTAATTACATAATATAATTGAATTAAATATTTTTATTTACTATTAGTGTCAGCAAATATTTATTACTTTACTATCAGAATATAAACGAAAAAAAAAAATAAGTTGCACCCCCAGCCAGTATCGAACCACTGACCTTCGCTTCATAGGCGAAAGCTCTACGCGCCGAGCTAATGGAGACTTGCTCTGTTTTTATTCAATACTAGAATTTAAGTAAAAAAATATTGTATTCTATCTTCTTTGGATGCGCAGTAGTGAACGCAACGTGTAACAGCAGCCAGACGGCGCGGCGTGCACGCTGTTCCAGAGCGCACAATAAGGGATATATCAAAGAGCCGTCTTAAAATACTTGTTTTCCCGACGTTGCTAGCTCTCGTACTACAAAGTCTAGTTAAAATTGGAAGTTTATGTCAGTTTACTAATATAGATGCTAGTTTAGATACCAGGTTTTCAACACCTATTTCAAAATTTACTCTCGTTAATGTAAAGTTCTTGGATAAGCAGGTTATGGTAATATGTTAAATTTCTTCTTTTTTCTTCTTCCACTTATTTGAGACCTACTCGATCTGTTTTAAAGTTGCCTCTGTAGGAGTTCTTGAGAGATGGACTACAATTGTCTTTTCATCTTTTTGGGGGTCTTCCCAGCTGTCTCTTACCCATGGGCTTCTCTTAAAGAGCTATGTGTGTTTTATTCCATGCGTTTTACGTGTGCAAACCATTGTTTCTAATTCTGTTTCTTCTAGTCTTCCCCATTATGGTTCTTATGTTCTTCATTTCAGCGACTCTTATCATGCTTTTGGTTTTGTTTGTTTCCTTCAGGATTTCTATGCCATGTGTCATTATTGGTCTGATGCAGGGCTATATAATTTTAATTTTGCTGTCTGTTCGCATGGGGAAGGGGTTTGTCCACACCATTTTGCCTCAGACATCCTGACATTGCCGCTGTTCTGTTTATTTGGCTTTTCAAATCTTTCTATGGATCACTGTGATACTGTGCTCAATAATTTTGTTTTCTACTACCAGTTTGCATCTTACCGGCTGTTAAATTTCATTTGAATTTATATCTTTTATTTGTAAAATTAAATAATTCTTTCCAAAAAAATCCTTTATGAGTATTTCGCCACTGCACTGCAAGAAAATACTGCTTGTCAGAAGTTATGTTTACCGTTATACAAATTTGCCTAACAAAGAAAAAAACGCTAAAAAAATGTAAAGTGTTCTCGAATAGTTGAGTTTAAATATTTTAAATAGTTTTTTTCTTCTTCCTTTGTGTTTTTTTTTGCTTCCGACGACGGAAAGAGATAAACTTTCCGAAACGTTAAGCGTTTTTTTCTTTGTTAGGCAAATTTGTATAACTGTAAACATAAATCCGCCACATAGGTATAGACATTTTTTAAATAATTATTGAAACAAAAATGATTGAATTTAGTAACCATTAATTTATAAAACTCTTTCTTACGACCATGGTTAATTCTTAACATTAACATGATGTTAGGTTATTACAACACGCATATTTAATCATTAATGACTCAACACGACCCTGTACGACCTGTAAGATGCCGCCTAACGATATCGCTTAAAGTAAATGCAGAAAAACCCTAGAATATAACAAACTTAATTAAAAAAGATCCTAATTTTTTTAGAAAAATTACTTAAAATATAGTTTCAGTGAGCCAAATTAATAACCTAGTATCTATCTCATGGGCGCCGGAAGAATGAAATTTAGGGGGGGGGCAAGGTAAAAATGAATAAAAAACTGACATTTTTGGTAATTATTGGGAAAACTGGAAATCGTCCGATTTTCACCAAAATTGGTATACACCCTATTTTGAAGTCGTAGATTACGAATTTGAACGTTACGAATCTTTTTTCTTGGCGGTCTCTTACCGTTTTTGAGAAAAACGGAAAATAATTTCAATATCGAATTTTTCTTAATTTCTCATATGTTTAAGGTTTTCTAGCACATATTTTGTTAGGTATTCAATAATCAATAATGTTTTTGCTCTTTTCTGTTACTTTTTTAACCAATTCTATGCATAATAGAGGAAAATTTGTTAAAATAAATTTGTAAACAATCTGAAAATGTTAGATTATGGCTTTGTTCGGGTTCTTGTTATTACCGATTCTGAACCGTCCAAGAACTCTGCAGCGCATGCGCAAATGAAGTAATGTCTTCATATTTCCTTCTGCGCATACACATCACAGTTCTAGGACGGTTCAGAATCGGTAATAAGAGAAACCCGAAGTAAGTTTATGTCTTTCTGGCATTTAAAGCAACGTTGCCAATGTTAAACCTAAATTTAGCGTGTTTTTTTCGCTCATTCTGGAATTACGAAAGGCGGTCGCCAGAAGAACGGCTCCTTCCCATAACTGCTATTTTACCAACGAGATCTGACTATTTATACCCACGAAGTTGCACGAAAAAGTTTTGATTGCATTGGTTACAACTTCCATGCAGAGGGTGTTAATCTTTTGTTGTTATATTATTAGATTAACTAAGAAAAGATTAACCTCCTCCGCAAAGAAGTTAAAACCAATGCAATCAAAACTTTTCCGCGTAATTTTGTGGATATTGGTGTATATTTAATTATTGTTGATCTCATAATAGGTAATTTATTTAAATTCCGTAATCACCCGAAAAAATAGAAGATATGGCAACGTTGTAAATTTTCAAATTTCTAGATTAGGTCTAGAATAAATTTGTCTCTCTTATTACATAGGAGAGAGAAAGAAGGATATATCAAATGTCAAACTTCCATCTGGTCTCAATTTTCTTTGCTATTTTGTTAAGAAAAGTGTTTTTCAGTAAAATGTTGGACACTTTTCTATCCCCAATCAAGTGTGGCTTTTAGATAAACTATAATATAATGAAAATATAGTGAAATTATTACTTTATAGGGCCGAAATAAAGAAAAATTCAATGTTGAAATAATTTTCCGTTTTTCTGAAAAACGGTAAGAGACCGCCAAGAAAAAAATAGATTCGTAATCTACGACCTCGAAATAGTGTGTATACCAATTTTGGTGAAAATCGGACGATTTCCAGTTTTCCCAATAATTACCACATTTTTATTTTACAGGTAACACCTAACAATTTCATAATAATGATTATTTTTTTACAGATGGATGTAAGAAGATAGCTTTTATTTTTATTGTTTCAGTGATCCAGGGGGGGGCAAATGCCCCCTCTTGCCCCCCCTGTCCGGCGCCCATGATCTATTTAAAGCATAGCTGAAAGTTAATGTTTTTGTTTTCTGCAAGCGCCATGGGCCAGTCATAACTCCATTAATGACATGCATATTAACATAAAATTCAACAGACACAAAATTTGGCTAGTTAGTTTTAAATTCGAATTCTAATATTCCCTTAGTCACTCTGGGCGCCAGCTCATCAAGGGATAGAGGGTAATGGAAAAGCAAACGATCTAGCTAGAAAAGGGGCAAACACTTTACTAACTAGATCAGAATCATTCTCCATCACAGCAAAGTGGAAACAACT